GTCAGGATCATATTTAGGGAAGAGTCTAGTCAGACCAGACACACTAACAACACCAGTATTGCTAGCAATGTCAACGTGTTCTTTGAATGTCTCTGGAGCAAAGAGAATCCCATCCACTTCCGTTAGTAGTATACCCTTATTCACAACAACCCATACCTTGTCTTCACTTTTAAGAACACTGATCAAACCAGTCAACTGTAATGAATCTAAAACATCTAAGATTTCTTCTCTTTTATATGGTATAAAATAATCATCATTGTCCTTACCAGCAGACATTACATCAGAGAGGGTCAGTATATTTTCTTTCCTTTCCTCCAGTAGACCATACATCATGTGACAATAAAGACTCAAGTTCCTTCCACTTGTACTACGAATGGACTCACAGGCCCTACACAACTTATTAAAGAAGGAATCCACACCACTCCCACCAAGCTTACGACAATCTAAGAAGACACTATCACACATTTCCCTTACAATAATCTCCTGTATTTCTTCCTTTCTCTTTATCTTTTCAACAGGATTACTTATCTGATCCACATGACTGACTATTACAATAACATGACATCGATTAAGAGCTTTCTGTGCTTCATTTCTGACAACTGTTAGCCACTGATGAAGCTGTTTGACTGGTTCCTTGTCCAATATATTGACTACTATGAGGAACACACCACCAGAACCTTGTAAGAGATTCTCGATGACAGCACTGTGACTGGAGTAGTATTCGGAATGACCAGCAAAATCATGAAGAATGATGTTACCCAGTGTCCTGTGTTGTAGTTTATAAGGGATGATACCAACAGTACAGGGCACTACCCCTTCAACATTTCTAAAGGAACCAAAAAGAGTAAAACTAGCTGTGTCATTGATGACATGACTAAGAGTACTTTTACCAGCTCCAGGATTACCCACAAGGAGAACGTTAACATAAGAATCAATTGGATGAGATGATTTTATATCACCAAACTTCTTAAAGATGGGAAGAGTATTAATCCCACTTCTCTGTTTCTTGTTTTTAGCTAGTTGTAATGGTGTTCTTCCCTTATTGTCTTTAGCCAATGGATCACATTTACCAGTTGATAGTAGACATTCAATAGCTTCAGAACAACCGTAATCAGTAGCAGTATGAAGAGGTGTCCACCCCCTCTTGTCAACAGCCATTGGATCACAGTGACACTCATTGATTAGATGTTTGATTACATCAGGTGAGTTGTTGTAAGTGGCTGGCAAGGTGGCTGCATATTGAAGAACAGTCTCACCCTCATTATTAGTAGCCATTGGATCACAGTGATGATGATTGATCAAGTACTTCATGACATTAAGTGATCCATTAGCAGCTGCTCTGTGAAGAACAGTATTTTTGCACTTGTCAGTAGCCATTGGATCACAGTGACACTCATCAATGAGATATCTCACCACATCAACATGATTACCTACTGCAGCATGTTGAAGACAAATCCGACCTCCACTATCTCTTTCCTGTGGCTCACAGTAATATTTAGTGATGAGATCTTTTGTGACATCTAACCAGCCATGCTTTGAAGACAAATGAAGTAAACTAGTGTTAGTCCATCCTTCATAGCTTCCTTTAATTTTATTTGGTTCCTTTACTAATGCTAGTAAGCGAACAGCTTCTCTATGATCTCTATTTTCAAAGGCAGTCCAACACTTGTCCTCTAATGACATCTTGTGATCAGTTTATTAGATTCATTGTTACCATATTAGGAAGGAATTTTACTCACACACACACACACACACACACACACACTCACACACCATGATTATCATTAACTAAGTGAAGAAAAATAATATTAGCCTGCATGTAGCTAAAATTAGTAAGGGTTTAAGTAACATATGAAAAAAGATAAAATTGCAATCATAATGTGTATAATACTTTTCATTTTTTCTCTAATGTCTTGATTGTTATTTTTAATATATCATAGTTTTTGCTGACAATCATCAAATCTCTTGTTATAAGATCATTCAGTTTCCCTTTTCTCCTGTCTCTAATAAATGAGTACTTTATGTATTCTTATATACTCTTCAAATCACTAGCTATAAGTACCTCCCTCAGCTCCTCCTCTTCCTTTTCTCCTCCTCCCCTCCTCTGATAACCTACACTACTGTACAGTCTCAAGCTTCTTCCAACAGATCTCTAGTGGTACATGTAACAATGAGTAATTTTGGACAAAGGAGGTAACACCTGTTAAAGTGTTAGTGTCACGTACCAGAAGTTAAGAAATTACATAAATTTCTGATTAAGAAACTCATGGGGTGGTTTGTCCTTTTGATGCATGCTTTAAGAGTATAAAGCCTGGTTCACAATATGACATTAGGCTAGCGTACCATCAATTTTTAATCAAAAGTGTGGGAAATTTGACCTTTTGATGCATGCTTTCCGCTGGAATCAATCCAGATTCGATTCCAGCATCAACGTAACGTCAGGACTAGCGTAATATTGTGAACCAGCCTTAACCGATTCAACTTCAGTGTCAATGTAATGTTATATAAGACGAGTACCAAAAAGCCAATAACTATACAACAACCCACTAAATAATGTACCATTCAGATAGATTTTATTTTATATTGTCCATTACACAACTACTAATTTTTAGCATTAATTTTAATCAACGAATTGCTGATGATGCATTCAATTCATAGTCACTTCAATTTTATTATATCTGCTTAAATTAGAACATGCATTTAAATCTAAACAGGAGATCTCATTGTATCTGATAGTGTCAAGTATATTTTCCCTCCTGTTTCTTTACTTGTTAATTTATCACAATAAAAAAATGAATAAATGAAAACACAACTTTATTCTAATATTAAGTTATTAGCTAGCTATTAGTTTTGATTAGTATTTGAATTGAACAGTCCAAAGAGGTTCACAAATA